GTTCCTATTTTTCTACTTGCATTTTTGACCTGCTTTCGAACTGCTCGGTTGGCAAAAGCTGGGACAAGTCACCAGAGCTCCCTCCGTTACGCGGCGCTAGCGATTCGAACCGCCGAACTGCTGACCTTTCTGATCGACAAGCTCAGCCTCTTAGCCACTGAGCCACCCTGTCCCTCCATGTTAAGTTTGACCAGTCACTGAAGGAACTGTTGCAAAGTCAAGGACTAGCTGTACATAAATTAAATAAGGAAAACTAAAAGGATAAATAAAGAAGCTGCCTTCGTTTTTCATACAGAGCTGTGAGTTCCGTGTATCTTCCAGTTCAACTATGCAGTTGAAACCCTGCCCCCCCTTTTTTTGCCCCTGGCATAAATTGCGCTCACAGTTGCCATCTTGAATATTTTGACTCCTCCCCTCTGAAAGGGGTGGAGGGAAGCCTTCTCGCCCCGCTAACAATCCCGCCTCCAGGCGACAATTAGGTACCTGAAAAGCATTTGCTTGAGCATCCGGTTCGCCGTCACGACCCTCGGAAGTCGGCCAGTCGAAAGGGAGTGAAGCTCCATGTTGGAAGAGATCATTTGAGTTGTCATTTCGGTGTCCGCAGCCGTTCCAGCTCCACAGCAGCTAGAAGAGTAAAACAGTGTCATGTTATGCGTCTCTGCGTCCCACTGATCAGCCTCTTCCAACCCAAGGAACCTTACTGTCAGACCTGCCGAGCCGGGGCTCTTAAGAAAGAAAGACCCTCGACTCCACTGGGGTGAAATGATGTTCTTTTACTGAAGGTTGCTGTCAATTCATAAAGTTGTCATGGTGAGGAAAAGGGGGGGGGGAACGCATTCCACGCATACTTTCCGCTAGAATCAGATCTCAGATTACTGCAGCAGGCTTGGGAGGGGTGCACCTCATTGGGGAAATATGATTTATGACACAGAGGGGAGGGAAGAAATGGGTAAAGTTCAGCTATAATTCAAATGAGGCTCAGTTCTAACTGCAAAAAGGTCTTTGCCAAAATGGTGCTCCTAATAAATGGCTAGTTATCTTTTGAAACTCGAGACTCGTGAATCAATTAGGGCATCTCTCGGAAACTTGACAGTTGCTGGCTGTGGTAAAGTCAGGCTATATTTTGTATCCCGTATGAAATGTTACAAATTTTCCCCCTCATCCCAGCCCTCCCCGCAGGATCAGTTCATCTTCAGCCAATGAAGAGCCAGAAAAGAGTTTTGAGAATCCCCGAGATGTTTGCAGCAGTCCACATTCCATTCACAGGGACTTTGAATGCTAGCACAAACTGGTTCCGTGCTTCTCTGGTCTTCATCAAACTGTCATTTCTCCCCCTTCCTATTTTCCCCATCACATCCCCATACATCATTGCCCATTTGTTGCCGCCTCCTTCCTAGCCTTTGATGGCAGGATGCCAGCAAGACAAAAGATGACAGAACTGATTCTTGCTTTCTGTAATATCCGAAAGCATTTGAGAGGATAATGAGCATGTCATCATGTGTCTCTTGCCACACAATTCACACACATCTTCTCCTTCAATGAGGCGGCCTGATGCACAATCCCCAGCCCTCCCCACTTACTAGATGTTGGGAGCGATGAAATGGATCTTGGAACAGTTCTTGTCGGCAACCACCATCCCTTCAGTGGCTCGGGTGTCTGCCCCCAGCACAATACCATCCTGGGGGACGAGAAAAAGGGTTCAGGTTGCATCTTGGCACGAAACCAAGGGAGATTTCTCTCCCCCCCCCCCCAAGAGCTGCAGCACCAGCCTTACCTTGTACACGATGCCAGCTATGGTGGTGCCCGTCTTGCGAGCGGTGGGCAGCCGAAGACCCTTCTGGGCCCCCTCTGATTCCAGCTGGGCATTCCTTCAGCGGAAGAGAAGCCAACATGAGACACTGCTAGCATCCCCAAATAATAAATTGATGGATGGATAAGAATCAATGATTTTTGTAAAAAATATGATTTTTTTCCCATTTAAATCAGATTTTTTTTTGTATTTTTATTACATTTATGTAAATAAAATGTTTTTGGAGTAAAAAAAAAAATGGTTTTCTATTGAAGATCCATTCATAATTTAGTTAACTCAGCATGAAATGGAGCTTAGTTATGTAGCATGAGGCTGTATATTCTATAACATTGGGACTGTCGATGAATCAACAGTGGGTCACTACAGGACAGGGATGACAGTGGCTCTTCACTAATGATGATTTAAATGGAGTTGATTTAAATCAAGCCTTTTTACTAGCGATTTAAATCGTGATTTAAATAGAGTTGATTTTAATCAAGCCTTTTTACTGGTGCTTTAAATCGTGGTTTAAATGGAGTTGATTTAAATCAAGCCTCTTTACTAGTGCTTTAAATCGTGATTTAGATGATTTAATCAAGCCTTTTTACTGGTGCTTTAAATCGAGTTGATTTAAATCAAGCCTTTTTACTGGTGCTTTAAATCGTGCTTTAAATGGAGTTGATTTAAATCAAGCCTTTTTACTAGTGATTTAAACTGTGATTTTAATCATGGTTTAAATCGACTTGATTTAAATGAATTCCACGCTGCCCCCCTCCCCACCTGGGGCTGGAAAAGCGGGGTGCAACCCAAGATCAACTCAAGGGGGGGGCTGCATTTGGAGAGGTGGGGCTATCCTGGCATCCCCCCTCCCCCCTCCCCCGGGTGCGATGCCCATTCCCCGCCTTCCCTTCCCTTCCCTTCCCTTCCAAGACTCCAACTCCCAGCATGCCTCAGCGTGGCCCCC